TGTCAGAGAGTGAGAAACATTGAGTGTCTTCTCCCCATCTGTGCATGGTTGAACTTTCGCTGCCTACTCTGATCTGTGTGTAGTGTGGACGCTGTCTCCTCTCCCCCTTCTCTTATGCATGTATGGGCGTGTATGAGACTGTCTGTGTGTGAGTGGCTGTAAAAATCGTCAGACAACCAAGTTCATAACAGTTGGTATCAGAGCAAGATAGGATTTGGAGCACTGAGGGTTGAGTGCAACGGGGCATCTGGCGACATAGTGGCGAGAGCTTCATGACGATTCATCTTCCCGGGTACTGAGTCAGTAGGGAAGAAGATCTCAAGCGGTGAATTCAAGAGTTCACTGGTTGCACTGAACAAGCGCGTTGAGCCTGTCAGGGCGCTTGCAGGAAGTGGCGAGAACAGGGCTAATTCGCCATAGCCAACCCTGAGGGTAGTATTGCGAATTACCCCAGAGTGGTGAATTACCCCTGAGGACTTCAGAGATTTCTAAGCGGCTTCATCCCTGAGCAACGGTGAGGGAGATTGACAGTATGTATCAATCTCAGGAGAAAATAACCTCACATGAGGCTATTTATAGCATCAATGGCTGAGGGGACCTTCTTGTTGGCTTCTGAGTGCCACAGGGTCAGATTCAAGGAATCTGAGAGCAAGGGTTGCAGCGCCTCAGGATCCTGAAGTGGATCAACAAGTTTGAAGAAGCTCTGTGCGTGGAACAGAGAGGAGGAAGTTCTTGAAGAAATTGGCGAAGTGAGGGTATCTTCACCCAGCTCTGCAAGAAGCTCTAAAAGTGAGTCCGTTCCATGCACCTACCTGTATAGCGATTCAGATAGGATTAGATTAGTCAGTAATTATGGTCTATCTGTCTGTCAGTGACTGGATGTGAAAATCGCAGACTTCATGACATCCATAGCCATCTCTCCCTTACCTTTCTCTGCTCATTTTTTACCCTCTGGTGACTCTTTTCCATCCAAAATTGTTATGTGAGTGCCTTACTATATTGCGCTTGATTTGGGATGGTCAGACTGTGAATTCTGCACTGGAAAAGTCGTGATACTGTGAATTGCATTTTTGCGCCGAGTCTAATTATAGCCTATGCTACTTAGGGTCAGTCATAACTTCAATTCAACCCGTCAGAATTTAATTATGTCAATTGCCAGTGAATAGCAATCCAAAAATAGTCAGTACTGCAGAAGCGCTTGATGGGATTTGTAGTATTTCACTGGAAACAGTGAATACTGCACTTCGCCATACCCTAGGGTATGGCCCCGAAAGTCATCAGGGCCGAAAATTGAGTCTGGGCTAGGATTCTGGGTTTCTGACTGAATCGCTCTGCTTGTTTGATCCTCCTTGTCTGTACTTGCCATATTCTGTCATTCTCACTGATTACTCTTGTTTTCTAGTGGGCTCTGGAAATCTAATGTTTCTCTGGAAGATTAGTGGACTGTCTACTAACTCCAGTGTGGTGCAGGGTCAGTAAAAGGAAATCGTGTGAATGATTTTGTTGGACTAACTGTCTGTCTGACACCTGACCCCAGAGAACCGTTCCAACCCAAACTGCTTGTTGCCCACACACCCCCCTACCTCTGTGTCTGAGACAGCAGCGATTTCTGAGTGTCTGAAGGAAACTGTATATCGCTGCATACTCAGTTGCTGTCTCTTATTTATTGTTGTATTGAAAGTGGAAAATGGGAGACCAGGGTGCTCAGCAGCAGCCACAGGTGGAAGTGGTGATGAACTTGGAAGAACCACAATCTTCTACCTCCACCCCTACTACTCCTCTGACTGCGACTCAGCAGAAGAAGAAGGAGTTGCAAGAAAGACTGCAGCAGGAGTAGGCCCTGCTTGCAGAACTTGAGCGGCAGGAAGCAGCTGAGCTAGAGGCTGCAACAGATACCTCCAGAAGGGAGTACCTGTTGGAGCAGCTAAACAAGGTCCTAACAGATGACCGCTGCTCCCAGGTGAATAAGAACCTGGCGGAGTGGGCTCTTCTGGAGCACAAGGCCACCAACTCTTACTTCACTAACTGGGATGACCGCATCGGCCGCTTGGAGCGCAGGGTGGATGACCTGGCACCTCAACAGTCCAAGATTCTGAAAGCAATTCAGGATCTGACTGCTCAGCTGTCAACAGCCAAACTGATTGCTCCTCAGTCTCCTGCCTCCCCATTGAAACTCAAACCTTCTCCTTCTCCTCCTTCAACACCCCCTAGTTCATGTCATTCTTCCCTTTCACCACCTCCTTCCCAAAAGGCCACAGCCAAACCCACCTATGCGTCTGTTGCTGCAGGGGATCAAAGAGGTCCCAAGATCCCTGCCCCCAACAAATTCAGAGGGGATGACCCCAAGACTGATGTTGGGGACTGGGCTGCTGGGACCAAAGCCTACTTGAGGGGCTTTGTCTGTGCAGAGCAGACCAAGGTGGCCACGATTCTGGGACTGCTGGAGGGACCCGCTCTGAAGTGGGCCACTTCAACTTCCAGCAGTCAGCAGCAGTCTATGGAGGACTGGGTTTTTGGGCTGGGGGTGGACAAACTTCTGCAAGCCCTAGAGGACCACTTTGTAGACAAGGAGCGAGCCCGCAAAGCTGCTGGCAAGATTGCTCGCTTGGGGCAGCAACGTTACAGTGGTACCCTGCAATCCTTGTTTGCAGAGTTCGAGCAGCTCACCTCTACCCCTGGGTTGGTCATGTCCACTTATGATTTGCTGACCAACTTCTGCAGGGCAGCGCCTGAGAAGTTTGATGTTGCACTGTACAACGCAGGGCACAAGGACTGGAGATCCTTTGGCCGTGCAGTCCCGGACATGGAGGCAAACCTTCATGTCCAGGCCCCCTCCTCTAATAGGAGGAAAGGTGCCTTCCCTCGTGGTGGTAGAAAGGGAAAGGCATCCTTTGCGCATGCAGGGTCTGCATCAGCTTCTGATTCAGACTCCCAATCTGATACACCATCAGCTGGGACTGGATCAGCTGCTGAGACAGATGTTGCAGCGGCCCTGACTCAGGCTGTTCTGGGAGTTCTGCAACAGCAGAAAAGATTTTCCCCCACCACAGCCTCAGCTAGTGCAAAGGCGAAGGACCAGGGACGTCGGCCTTCCTCCTCCCAGCGCCCTAATCTGCCCAGAGACGTCCGCATGTCAGCTGACCCTCTCAATCCCTCCACTCTCCCCTAGCATGACCTCAAGATCCAGGAGGGAGTGTGGAGAAGAAGAAAGGAAGGTGTGAGGGACAACACTTTTTGAAGGACTGCCCTTACATGCCTGGCCCAAGGCAGTCAAAAAACTGAAACAGACCCTGGGGACTGCAGTTCCCCTAGTGTTGCACCTTCATCTGCATAGGTAGATGAATTTGCAGCTGTTTCAGTTGAGACTGCATGTGATTGTTTGGGAACTGCGCGAGCAGCATCCTTCTCCTATGAGGATCCTGACCCGGATCAGGACCCGGGGCAAAATGAGCTTCAGTCACTTGCTGACTTCTTCTCCCACCTGAACGAACAGAAGAAGCACAAGTCTGATCTCATCCTACTTCGGCCCCTGATCAACCACAACAGGATCAAAGGGGTGTTGGATTGTGGAGCCACCAGGAACTTCATATCTCCCAGTGTTGGGTATGAAAGTTCAGCAGCTGCTGCAACCTCTGCTGGTCAGAATAGGTGACTCCATAGTGCTCACCATCAGGGAGAAGGTTAGGGGAATCCCTGTTACCTTCGACAGTGCTGGAGAAGTCAGACATAGTATGAACTTCTACATACTCCCTGATTTACTCTTTGACCTGGTGTTCTCTATGCAGTGGCTGAAGGCAGTCCAACCCTAGGATCGACTGGCAGATTCCTAGAGTTGAACTACCAAACAGCCAGGGTGTGTATCAACCATGCATGGTTGCTGCTGATCATCACCCTAAGACTTCTTGCTACTGCCTGAGAGCGAGGGAGTTCTATTCTCTCTCGCGCCAGTACGACCATGAGCGTCTGTTCATAGCTCTGGTCAAGCAGACTGACGCTCCCCCTGTTTCCTGTCCTCCTGAGATACAACAGGTTGTGGATCGGTACGCTGATCTGATGCAGGAGCCCTTTGGACTACCCAACCGGCCAACCAAGCATCACATCGAGCTACTACCTGGAGCAGTCCCTCCTAAGGGACGAGTCTACAGGATGTCCCTTGCTGAGCTCGAGGAGCTCAGAAAGCAGCTTGAGACCCTTACCAGCAAAGGTTGGATCAGACCCAACACTTCTGAATTTGACGCACCGGTTCTCTTTGTGCCCAAAGGGAACGGCGAGTTCAGAATGTGCATTGACTATAGGGGTCTCAACAAGATCACTAGGAAGAGTACAAAGCCACTTCCTAGGATCGATGACATTTTGGATATGGTGCAGGGCTGCACAGTGTTCAACAAAGTCGATCTCAAATCTGGGTACCACCAGATTGAGATGGCAGAGGAGGATGTCTACACGACAGCCTTCAAGACCAGGTATGGTACTTATGAGTTCCTGGTCATGCCATTTGGATTTTGCAACGCCCTAGGTACCTTCCAGACAGAGATGCACCGCATCTTCAGGCCTTACCTGGAAAAGTTCATGGTTGTCTACCCGGATGACATCCTGGTATTCAGCAGAACTGCCAGGGAACATGCGGAGCATTTGGCTCTTGTCCTTCAGTCGTTACGTGACAGCCAGTATAAGATTAACAGAGAAGTCCTCTTTTGGAGTTCCCTCTGTAATCTATCTGGACCATGTAATCTCTGGAGATGGCCTGGCTCCTGAAGCAGCCAAGATAGCTGCTATTCAGGAGTGGCCACAGCCACAGACAGTGAGGGATGTTAAGTCCTTCATGGGTTTAGCCTCATACTATAGAAAGTTTGACAGGAACAATTCTGCAGTGGCTGCACCCCTCACCAACCTAACAAAGAAAGACACTCCATTTCTTTGGTCCCTTCCCTGTCAGTTGGCCTTCACACGACTAAAGAAGGCCTTGACTCGTGCACCTGTGCTGAAGTTGTCTAACCCCACTCTGCCATTCATCCTGACCACTGACGCCAGTCAGTATGGCATTGGGGCAGTTCTTCAGCAGGATGATGGGAATGGTCTACGACATGTAGAGTTCATGAGTAAGAAGATCAAGACTCAAAAGCTTCAGGATTCTACCTACGAGAAAGAGTTGTACGCTCTTGTCTGTGCCCTGAAACATTGGAAGCACTTTCTCCTGGGAAGACACTTTAAGATCTTCTCAGATCACTCCACCTTACAGTGGATGAAGTCCCAGGGAGAGTTGAATGATAAACTGGCACGCTACATTCAGTTCATAGACATGTTTGACTTTGAACTGAAACACAAGAAGGGCTGCTACAACAAAGTAGCAGATGCCCTCTCTCGTAGGCCTGACTCTTTTGCATTGATCTCCTCCGCTCACTCCTTTGGAGAGGAGACCTGTCAGACCATTGCTCGTCTTCTGCCTCAGGACCCAACTTTTGGGCCCATAGTGAGGAATCTACAAGCGGATCCCAATGTTGAACCCGGCTATGCCCTGAGTTCAGACTTGCTGTACACCTACAACTGAGGTGAGGAACGCTTGTGCATTCCCCAGGGTCCGCGGCTCAAGACACTACTGATGTCAGAGTGTCATGATGCCCGTGGACACTTTGGGTTCTTAAAGTCGTATGCAGCCCTGTCGTAGCGCTTCTTCTGGAAGGAGATGCGGAGTGATATGCTGCGCTATGTGGAAACCTGTGAGCTTTGCTAGAGGAACACGGTCCAGCGTAGGCCTCCTCTGGGACTACTCAAACCGTTAACCCATACCTGATGGCCCTGCTGAATCTGTGTCGATTGACTTCACAGATTTAGGCAAGAAGGCAAGACCACCCCTCGTGGCATGCGTCAGGTTATGGTCTGCGTGGACAGGTTCTCCAAATACGCAGAATTCATCCCCTTGCCAGAGGTAGCTAGAGTCCCGGTTGTGAGAGCAGCCTTTTCAGAGAGGTGGGTCACACACCATGGACCACCCACTTCTATAGTGAGTGATAGAGACCCCCGATTTTGCAGCGATGAGTGGCAGTCCTACTGTAAGGACTACCTGCACTCACGATTGGACATGACTTCTGGTCATCATCCTGAAGCCAATGGTCAGGCTGAAGTGATGAACCAAGTCTTATTCCAATTGTTGCGTCCTGTCATCTCTCCAGATCAACAGAACTGGGATCTCCACTTGGCTCGGGCACAGCTTGTTTATAATATGTCTGTCCACTCCTCGACAGGGTTCAGTCCATACCGGTTGCACTGGGGATGTGAACCACGACAGCCTCTCGATGATATCATCGATAAGGCTAAGTCAGACCTGACACCAGGCACCGCAGAGTTCACCAAACGCTATCGCATAGATGTGGAAAGAGCACGGGCGAACTTGTTCAAAGCCCAAAAGGCAATGATTGAACAAGCTAATCGCCACAGGCGGCCTTCCCCCATCCACACTGGTGATTATGTCTGGGTAGCCAGTTCTGAGCTGTCGAGGGAGGAGGATATCTCCTCCAAGTTGTTGCCTCGTTACTTGGGTTCATGGCAGGTCTTAGATACAGTGGGCGCTGATCCATTCGGTCCATCCTATGTCATTGACATCCCACTGCATCTACGAACCTACCCGGTCTTCCATGCATCTAAGCTGCTTCCATTCACTCGAGCTGATGCATTCCCAGACCGGCCCCCTCAATTTGGTCCATCGATCCCTGCCAAGGGATATGACGTGGAGTGGATTGAGGATGACTGGGGCACAGGCCCCGATCGGCAGTATCTTGTGAGGTTCGCGTTCCAGCCTCCTTCTAAGAACAGATGGTTCTACAAATGGGAACTTCTCAAGACATCAAAGTCAGTTGTTTCATGATATGAAGCGGCTCTGAAGGGCAACCTTCCTCGCCGTTCACCTCGTCTGCATCCCTAGCTCGGAGGTCCTCACTCCCCAGGGGGGGTAAGCCTGCAATGACTTGCTGATTTCGACTGCCCGGACTGACTGCGAGGTTGTACAGTGTGTGTGCTGTGTGCTTTGCTGTGTTTTTTTTTTGTTTGCACCGAGGGTCGCCTGCTGTTCTAAAAATAGCTTAGACTAACAGCAGTAGGGTCTGAGTGGTTACCGGCCCTAAGTGGCCCTGAGCCCTAAGTGCAGCAGTAGGAGAATGGTTTCGTAAAGGCCGAGTAGGCGTAACTGAAACGGTACTGGTAGGCCCTGGGCTAGAGTCGTGTAGAATCTACAAGTAGGTTAGCGTAGGACTGCTAGGGACTTTTGGCTGTTCATTTTCACGACGCAGCGTTTGGAGAAGCCAAGCAAGTTGGCGGTGACAATTGTCTACAGGCGGCATCTTGAGACCCTTGTTGTGGACGGCAGCCATAGCCGGCCTTCTGAAGGTTGCCGGAGCTGGGGCATCCTCAGCGCATCTACCCCTGAGGGTATCTGCGACTGGCCAGGCTAT